TTAAAAATATATTTATCAAGCTAGTAGTTATACATTATTTAAGTTTTCCTTTTACACAACTGGATTCAAGTAAAATGTCACAATAATATTTCAAGGAAATAATATGGCATATTCCACCAGCTGATTTTCACCGGTTAGAACCTACAAATCAGTTGATTTTTTTGGTTGCCATGTCACTTCACGATCTTATCATTTTTTTAAGAAATAAAGTTAGGTAATGAATGAAGCAATTGTGAGAAGAATACTAGTGACTGACGTTGCATAGATATCCGAATTGCTATCATTTAAAGAGGTTGACCTTGTAAGTCTTTGTAAGCATATAGCAAGTCTTTGTGAGCTAAAATTTCCATGAACAATATATCTTGTAATTTTCTTTCGCATATCTATCGTATAAATGCAGAGTCATGTGCGTTACACGTTACTCCTTACTTCTTGACGTCATATATCAGACGTAATTTTCATTAAATAAAATATGATTAAGATATTACCGACATTTACTTGTCTAGAGCTAGTAGTGTGTGTAAATCGATTGAGATTGCAATGATCCATAATTTAAACAATAGTTTCATTATTACTTAGTAATGAGAGTAAATTTGGACTATTCTCGAAAACATAGCTATAACAATCAATGGATCCACTCTGAAAATATAAACACCATATAACCCCTACGGAGTTGTTTTGTTGTGAAACCCACAAACTAGTGGTACTAGATAATATCTTTAACATATATATATATTAACATTCAGCATTTTTTAATTAATCCAGCAATAGAAAAAAACTATTATTGATTGGTGAGAAAAGTTTTGTCCAAAAAAAAAAAAAGAAGATTGGTGAGAAAAGAAAAGACTTTTTAATTAATCTAGAAATAGAAAGTTAAGCCTAAACTGCATACTCATAAGTCATAATCCACGATTTCATCAGAAACACGTAAGCAAACAGCTTAACCACATATCTACTTAGCTTAATTAATCACAAACGAATGACAATAAGCGCATATGCAACAACAAGCAGATCTAATCACATCAATGACGAGTTTGTGAAACATAAAAACACTTAACTAAGCCAATTAATGACAAGTTCAAAGAATTTATCATACGAAAAGATTCAAAAGAATGCTACTTACCCTTTGGGCTTTGATTAACTCGAAGTCTTGGTGATTGACATATCCAAGCTTCCACAATTTTGTAATTAAGATGAAAGATTATTAGATTACTGGGCCACTAATGGGCTTACAAACAAAGTCGAGTGTTCTATTATTGGGTCAA